TTCCTCTTCCTTGGCTGGTCTGTCTGCTAGAAAAGCATGCCCTGCCCCCTCCCTTTCCCAGCCTAAACTTCCTATGTCTTCCTGAGTCCCCTGTCCAGGTTCTGTAGTAAGTCCATTGTTCAAACCCTGTCTTAGCAGAGTGGACTGGTTTCTGTAGGCTTCAGCCATACCATTGTTCTCAGGAACTCCCATCAAAGCTTAATAAATGTCCATCATTCCTGGTCTCGTGAGACATGATGTAGCCTGACAGTTGATGACTGACACTACATCAGCTGAGTCATTCAGTGAGACAGCCATTTCCTACCTCCACTCAGAATCCATAAATTGTACATTGATACCCCAAGCATCACTTTCATGGGAAGCCTCTTTGCGTGACATGTAGCAGATCAGGGGTGAGGGCACGCAGCACAGTGGCAGACAAGGCAGGAAGCAAAGCAGGTACAGAGCACAAGGAAGGAAGAAAAAATCAGAACAGTGGGTCAGGAACAAAGTATAAGGCTGAGAGCAGAAAGGAGAGCAGCAGATTGGGCAGGGGAAGGAGTTTGTAGTGGCCTGGGGATGATTCACGGCTAATTTGTGGCATGTCTGCCAAAACGGTTGTCCCCCCTCCCCCTCCCCACTACACTAGGATATTGGTAGAAAGCAGCTACAAACAAGATGTAAATCCAGTCAAAGATAATTAATTTTATAATGTCATTGTATATTAATGTGACATATTTGGTGGCCTGTATCCATCAGGACTCAACACCCCGTTGAGTAGGACCTGAGTGTAGATAAAGTGCATTGCTGGGTCAGGGCCAGAGGGAGCACTCTGCAACTTGCAGAATAGAGTCACTGAAGAAGATAGCTCACAGGCAGAGTCCAGAAAAGTGCAAGAGAACACAAGAAAACATCTTCAAAAGGGCATTCAGTTGCTCGCAGAACTAAGCCTCTCTCCATTATTGCAGTCAACTAAAGGGTCATGGTTAAAGTGCCATGCCATTTTGACGTGCCGAGTGGGAGGGAGGGGAAAGGTGGGTTGGCAGTGCGCTCAAACCCCACTAACATTTAGGATCATGCCTCTGTTTCCTACAGCCATGGAGGCACCAAATTTCTGGACTCAGTCTGGCCTTTGGATTTTGTCTCCATGGCCTAAAGGGGGTTGGAAGGTTTGGGCAGCCTCCATTCCTCCATATTCCTGTCTAGGTGTATGCATCGAAAGTCTGGGTGACCTCTCAGACATACACTATGATCCAGAAGGATCAACGGTTGCCAAATCATCTGTTTCCTCACCTGTAAAATAAGGATGATAATACCTTCCTAAGGGATATTGGGAGGATTCATTTGTTCATTCTTGGGCAACACATTGGGGCCTTGGGTGCCAACTGTCTGTAATTCTCACCATTGTCAGTTTTCATTGCTACTTTCCCTCTTTCTTCTTCTCTACTTCCAGATAAACCCTCTGTCCTATGGCAGCGTGGTGCAGACATACAGGCTCCCAACCTACAGCTGTTACCCTAAGGATTCCTGGGGGTCTCTCTGCAAAAAGTTGTTCCTGGGAGAGCTAATCTACCCTTGGAAGCACAAAGGGGAGAAGCAGGACTAAACAGAAGGCAAGGAACCGGCCAGGAAAGATGCAGCCAAGACAAACATTTAACCCCGCAGCTCCTGGGCCAAAGACAGCACGGGGCCAGCAGCTGCCAGATCCTTGCTTCGGTCCTGAGCAGGAAGGGCTGAACTGTTAAAGAGGGAGTATTATGTGTGTTCTTCTTCAGATTTCCTCTTCCTATATGGTCTCGTTGGGCACCTATACATGTGCCTGATGCCTGCTCTGGCATGTTCTAATGAGTTCATTCTAATTAGTTCATTTTAATCAAGTCTGCTGGAGTGTTCTAATTAGAATGCTTCAGCAGCCTCACCATCTTGTATATTCAGTGTCCTTGCATTTCGAACTGGCAGTAGGGGTGCTTTAACTAAAGCTCATTGAACAAGCTTTAGTTAAAGCACCCCCACCATCATTTTGAAGTACAGGACACTGAATACATGAGATGCCTTAGGCGTTTTAATTAGAGTGGCTCTTGAGAGCCACTCTAATTAAAATACACCTCTTCACCCCCGAGCACAAGTAAAGATGCTCATAGAATTGATTTGGTTTCCAGGCTACTAATGGAATGTTATTCTACCCTAGATCCTGAGGTGCCTGCCTGGTGGTGCAGGGGTAAAGGATATTTTTAAAGCCAAGAATAAAGCCATCAGTGCCTCATAGAACCAGCATACAGTGTAGTCCAGGAAGTAGGTCCTAAATGGCTTGATGTTCTGTGTGTCTTTCTGTATGAGTTCTTAGGGCCATATGGATGCAGTAAGCTGGTGAGTGAAAAGATTCCTGTCCCAGGGGGACAAAAATGGAGGCACCAGAGCAGCCTCCTCCGGTGGGACCCGAGACAGGGCTGACCCTCCCAAAAAAAGAAATAGAAAGCCCTGAAAAGAAGGCTTACTGTCCCTAGGAGAAGCAGAGCCACGCCAAGAAGGGCTGCCGGTGCGGTTCATCAGCCGCTTTTATTGCTGGCTGAGAATGGCACTGGTGGATGACGTCAGCAAAAACCACTGCCCAGAAGATTTAAAAGCCAGTGATGGGAAAATGGAGATAGGGGCAGCAATGCTGAAGCCAGAGGGCAAAGCTGCTCCCCAAGCTGCGACTCCACGGGGTTGACAGCTCGGAAGGAGGCTGGACGGAGACCTGCAGGAGGGGTCTTGACCGCATTAGAAGAATTACACACCCGGCTCGGCAGGGCAGCCAGGCCAAGGAGGGACGGTGTTGAGGGCTCTCATGGACCACAGACGCCGGACCCATGAGTGGGGTGGGCAGAAGCCCGTACCCCAATTATTCTTCTCTTCTTTTTTTTTAATTACTTTATTTCAGGGGGTGCATGGAACCTGGACTGGGTGGGGGGAGGTAACCCCAAGTAACCCCGAGCCAAGAGAGAGGACCGAGGTAGCACAGCAGAAGCCTCAAGAGGGAGAACAGGCGCAGAGACGAGAACGATCCCCCACCTTGTCATCATCTGGGGTGAAAGGTCATTGAGGGACGGACAAGGAGAGAAGAGAGCGAACGAGAACATCAAAAAGGGATGGGCCAGCGACCCATCATCCAGTGGTCCTGAGGGCTGGCGTATGGCTGGGGTGTAGGGGAGGTGGAGTCCCAAGAATGCTCGCAAAGGGCAGCACCTGGTCTGCAAGAAGCCCCAAGGAGGAACCCCACCAATGAAGAAAAGACAGGTTGTGGCAGGCGAGTGTTGGGGTCTCCCTCGGGGTTGAACGCGACCCAACGCACAGGGCCCAGGGACACACCTTGCAGTCGGAACCAGGTGTGCGCTTGAAGGTCGCTAGAGAGCACTTATACAAGACCAGTCTGGTGCAATTCCTATAAGTTAAATCCTGCCCCATCTTCTTCAAAAAGTGCTGTTTTCAGGAACTGGCATGGGGGAGGAAGAGAGGAGTTGTGGTGTCCAGACTGCAAACTCTGCCCCTGCATTCCTCTGCAGCTGGGTGTAGGGAGACAGGACTGAGGGAAATGGGATCTAGTTGGAATACTTCCATATATCGCCTCTGGCCATTGTCCCACATAAGAGCAGAGCCTACTAGGGAGAGAATATGTTGCAGCTTTAGGGCTTCAGTGGTTGTCCAAATGGAGCACAACTGGCACTCCATAGGGCAGTGAAGGAAGAATCCATATATTCCACACATTGTCTAACCTGGGTACTTGGAGGGAGGAAGATTTGACCTGTTGTATGCATAATGCTTTGAGATTTTAAACTCTTTTTACCCACACATACATGAGTATGAAATCCTCTCAGAGTACGGCCTTCACCCCTTTGTCCGCAGGCATGATCTGAAAAAAATGAATCTGTTTACAGGGGCATTTGGTTAAGACCTTCCCAAAAGCAATCCTTAGTAGGCAAGAGTGAACGTTGATGGAGATGTACATGGCCATCTAGGTTTTTGTAAGGGCAAAGTGCAGGGGAGTTACCTCAGAGCTAACAATAAGTTTGGGGGGCTAGAGCTGCCAAAACAACATTTTCTGCTTTTTTTTGAGCCAAAAAATGTTATTGAAAGAAACTATCTTGGAAAAACCAACCTAATATCACTACAGATTTTGAATGAAATGTTGATTTGTAGGTGGCTACAGGCAGCATCAAGTTCTGAGTTGATCTTTGATGTTCAGTATGTAAAATACCAGTATTGGCTTCAGCATTTGGACTGTTGTGGAACATCGCGAGTATACCATGTACAAACAATTATTTTCCTGTTGGCCTAATTAAGGCCAGATTGTGACCCCTTACAATGGTGAATGCTTAATCGCCATTGAGACTTTTCTTGTAAGCTGTTCACAATCAGTCTCTCTGTGATAGAATAGCCCTTTCAAATTTCCCTTCTTTCCTTTAAGCCAGATTTTAATGCCTTTACTCATCTTAAGAATTACCTTTCTTTACATTTATTAAGCCCTACTGAAAACACTTGGATCACACCACTGTCCTCAGATTGAAGTAGAAACATTTGATATATGAGCCTGGATCAGATGAGTGGTCTACCTTGTCCCGTATAGCATCTCGGACACTGGCAAATGGTGTATCCTTCAAAGAAGGTTCATAAAACTCTGCAGTAAGCCATTTTGGGACAACCTGCCACCAAGGAAAGTTTCTTTCTCTACCTTATTATCTTCAGTGGCAGGCATCAGAGTAGAATATGAAGACAGTGAGGTTGTCTGAGTGACCTAGCCACCGGAATTTTTCTTATAAAAATTCTGCAATGAAAACTGGAAAAGATTTTGGCTTGCTCTCACAGTGTGTGCCTTGGTGCTAGCTGTGGTAAAGTTCTACTGTACAGATGGGACTCTGGATGTACACAGAAAGAAGATGCTTTGAGAAGGAAGAATAGCTGTTTCACTGTTACTGTCACCAGTGCTTCATATCTTCAGTGCCTCTAGCTTTTCACAAGGTTGGATCCTGTTAGTTTGATGTGATTCTTTCCTGAAACCAGGAAAAAAAAGTTTGGCCTCCAGTCTCTTAGTTATTTAGCTTAGAGCATCAGTCTCAACCTTACAGCCTACAGGCCAGATCTGGCCCATGGAGCCATGTCACGTGGCCTGTAGGGCTTGTAGAGGGCCTGAAAATTCAGGGGTGGGGCCCGCTGCCAAAATCCTGGACATGGAACCCTGTTAGCAATGCTCAACAGTGGCAGGGGTGAGCGATGGTTGCATTAACTCACACAGCCACTGCCATTTGCCACCACCACTTCCAGACCCAGCCTACATGGAGCCCAGGGGCTGGATCCAAAAGGGTGTTTGACACTTCTGGCTTAGTGGGGAAGAGGCGCTCAAGATAAAGGATAACGTAGTCCTGCAAACAAATACTTTTAAACTAGCTGTGAAGAAACTTGGGCTGAAAATCGAAGAAGGCTCCAAACTAAGAGCAGTGAGATTCTGGAAGAAACTTCCAGTCAGAGTAGTCAGGGAAAAAACACAAACAACTTCCAAGATGGGGCTTGAAAAGGTACACAATGTGGTACCTGCAATGTGGTGCCAGCAATAGCACCACACAGCGTGGTGCCTGCGATAGCAAGAGGCTAGACTTGATGAGCCAAGGAGGTCCATTCCAGTGCTATGCTCCTGTATTCTTTCCAAGGACTGTCTTTCTACTATGGTGCCATATCTACTGGTATCACACACACTCATATCCCCCAATGCCCAACTCAGTTTCTTGAATGTTGTGAGGTGTTTTCTTTTGTCCTGCCAAGACAATGTCTGCTAATGGCTTTTTCAGACATTCTTTCTGTGAGGCAAAGCAGCTTATTTAGGACAGTCATAATCACAGCTGCATGTTGGGATTGAGCAATTCTTTCACCCCAAGGGATACCACAGAGCCATTAAACCCAACAAACATGACCTTTGTATTGGGAAAGTGCCAAGTTTACTAGATGCTCCAGCATTAAATTAGCTCTCTCAAGACTGTGACATTGATTTAAGAATTGTAAAGTACCAGTAAAGCTGACATATGGCCTCCTAAAAAACTGAATTTCCTGAGGCACAGAGTCACCCTGTTTTGAGTGCACAACATAGATATGAAAACCACCTCTGTCACTCACTGCCCTGCCAAAACTATCTTTACTGAGCTCCAGATTGCTACTGACACTCCAGCTTCTCTGTATCATTGATAGGAGCTTGTATTCTTTCTGCCACCTCATGGTTGGTTACCTCTGTCTTTTAAAAAGGCTCCAGTGTAGGAAGGTCATTTGTTAAACCTTTTCTGGTTATGGGCTGAGAGCCACTGGAACAGAGCAATATCTGCCCAGGTCAGGAAATCTCAAGCCAGTTTCAGTCATGCTAGCTAGGAGCCATCTTCTACAGTGAGATCAGCATCTTCTTCCATCCTAAAACAGGCTGTGTCCACTACTAATATTTCTTTGCAAAGGGTGAAGAGCTCCATGTACTGTAGTGCTGACTTAAGAAGACAGTGCCTATTCAGACCTTGACCTGGGAAGTTGAACCTTTCATCCCTTCTCTTCCCCACCCCACCTGTTTCTGTAACAGGATGACAAACATTGACTGAAGCACATCTTTGAAGGACTGTGATCTTGTATATATGCTCTTTATTAATAGACTTCCTCTTCATTATCTCTTCCCCTTTAAAGTGCCAGTTCATATATGACACATGATCTGGTTCTTCATGTTTGGTGTGATTTAAAAAAAACCCTACATTGCACATAAATACATGCTGTGCTGTCATCCTTATCTGGCGATTTTGCTATTGATAAAAACTCTCCTCCCATGGCCAAAACACCATGATGTTGTGAAAAGGAAATAGTTCTGTAATTCAGTTGGAAAAAAGCCTCAGTTTGTGGGTTTGGGGTTTTCCCTAGCGCAGTCCTGCAGTTGGACTTAAGCCTTGTTACACAGGTATATGTACAGCTGTTATCATACATACCTGCATACACAGACACTTTCTACAATCTGGAAACCAAGATCCAAAGAGTGATGCAGTATATTAAAAGCTCTCATTGCATGTTGCATCACTTCCAGTGAGGGTAATGTAGATTGTAGTTATCAGCACTGATCTGTTTCCTGTTTCTTTGCCCCGCTCCCCTCTCCATAAACATTTCACATGCAAGGACCTCTTGTTAAAACTGATGTATGATTATAGTGTACAGGGCAGTTACATAGATATTGTAGCTACACAGCTGCATAGCTATTGTAATTAGTAGATAGAAATAGGCAGTGTACTAAAGTGAAATATCCTGCAAGTCTCACACTATCAGGAACAGGATGTCAGACATCTCTCAAAGAAAGCATCCATCTTACTGATAGATCTCAGCTGGAGACCCCCTACTGCTCAAAACCACCTGGTGGGCTAGGTTACTCAGAGCTTCCTGAGGATCAGTTGGCTGATGAGCTGCCTGCCAGCTCTGAGGTAGAATAGGACAACACAGGGAGCTCTGTTCTGCCTTCATGACATCAAAAACACTAAAATAGTGGGGTTGTATGACATGTAAATTGGCCCAGATACTGATTTCCACTTCAATGTGTGTTGAAGGTGGGACTTTGAAGCATCTGGGTGGTAAATTAGAGAAGCTTGCAGTGGTTTCGTAGATTTCATAGACATTAGGGCTGGAAGGGACCTCGGAAGATCATCAAGTCCTGCCCTAGGGGAAGGAAGTCAGCAGGGATCATAGGATCCCAGCAAGATAAACATCCAATTGTCTCTTGAAGGCGTTCAAAGTAGGTGCTTGAACCACCTCTGGCAGCAGTCTATTCCAAACCTTGGGGGCTCAGACAGTAAAGAAGCGTTCTTCCTTATGTCCAGCATAAAATGGTCATGAAGGAGTTTGTGACCATTCGACCTTATCGTCCCTTGGGGCGCTCTGGTGACAGACGTTCCCTCAGATGCTGGTGGTCACCCCTGATAAAGTTATAGGTGGCCACCAGATCACCCCTGAGCCTGCGCTTTTCCAGACTGAAGAGTCCCATGGTTCTCAGCCTCTCTTCATAAGGTCTGTTTTCCTGACCCTTGATCATGCCTTTGGTTCTCCTCTGCACTGTCTCAAGCTTCTCCACATCCTTTTTGAATTGTGGGGCCCAAAACTGGACACAGTACTCCAGCTGCGGCCTCACCAAGGCCGAGTACAACGGGAGAATGATGTCCTGGGATTTGCGTGAGAAGCATCTATGGATGCAAGCCAGCATTTTGTTCGCTTTACTAGCTGCAGCATCACGCTGAAGGCTCATGTTCATCTTGTGGTCAATCATGACCCCCAAGTCCCTTTCACCCGTGGTGCTAACTGGCATAGCACTGCCGAGTCTATAAGCATGCTGCAGGTTTTTCTTCCCAAAGTGGAGAACCTTGCATTTTTCGGTGTTAAACACCATCAGGTTCATGGTCTAACTGCATCAGTGTAGCTGTCTTTGTTCAAATCGTATCCAAGACATACAGCTTTGAGGTAAAATGGAGCTTAAAGCAGGAACTGTTCAGATGACATCACAGTGATGCCACTGCAGTGTGTTTAAGTGTGAGGTTTGCATGAAGGTGGCTACAGCAGCGAGTTACATTGATGTCAATGTCTCTAACCTGGGCCTTAGAAACCCCAGGGGAGGGGCTTCCCCTTCGCCTATACTTGCAGAATCCAGGCTTCACAAAGGAGTTGTGACATTTTCCTTTGGTTTCTAGATGCGTTCTCTAGCAGCGTGGGAAGGATCCAGAAGGCTCTGTTCTGCCCTGATTCAGACAGCAAGCTGCTTTCCTTCTGCCCTATGCTTCATAGTTACACTGCTGAGATGTCACCTTCCGACTTGAATATCTTGAAAATCCTGTACAGTGCTATTGATTTCATCTACCCTGTGGTTAGACATAGAGATAAGAGCATCTTGTTACATTAAACTGGAGATGGGCTAAGACCAGCACCTCTAATCAGAGCCGATTTCTATTTCTTTCCCTCTCAAATCTTGTGATTTTGGATTTGATCAGATCCAAACCCGAAAACAGCCAGTCTGTGGATCACGTAAGAGAGTAATAAATGACACAAATCTCGCAACAAGGAGCTAAACTTATGTTTTATTAAGAGACTTCTAAGGCCCCCATCACTATTGCATCTGGGTGCATATTTCCACCATTATACATCAGAAGAGCAGCTTGCAGGCATGCAGTGCTCTGGATCTGCATCCTGGTACAGCCTTGAACATGGTCTCCAAGGCTTCCGCTACATCCAGGTTCTAATTCTGAACAAGAAGTCCTTAGAATGCTGCTGTTTTTCAGAACATCAGCCAAATGAATGATCAAGAGAGTGTATGTGATTACAGCCATTGAAAACTACAAAGGGTAACATTTCATTGTCAATGGGGTGAAGATGACTTTCAGAAAGCAAGCCTTCTGTTAGGAAGCCTGAACATATATAATCCCTAGCCAGCAAGTTCCCTGTCCCCTCCTCCCCCCCAACTCAATGCCTGAAGATGCATTTGAGTGTTGGGAAGGATCTTGTGTAGTTTTGTAATGTGCTGTGAGAAACCTGGTATTATGGAAATGTGTGAAGATTTTACAACAGCTGTGCTACAAAAACCTCCAACTTTAAATTTTCCTTTAAGTTATGATACCAGAAAAGGTTTGCACAACCATTTGGAGAAAGTGAGACTGCGTGTTGAGGGGAGACGGGGAGGGAGAGAGAGAAAGAGATGTAGGGCTAGTTAAAAAGTGGTGGTAGATTTTGCATTTCATTAACATTATCTGCTGTCTAACTGCTATGTGGGAACAAAATGTTCCTGTACAAATGAGACTGGTGTTTGTTCTAAAACACCTTAGTTATGCCATTAAAGATAAAACTTGCTTCGCACCATAGCCCCATTTTAAAAAGCAGCCTGGCTTAACAGGTTAGTGCTTGGCCTAATAAATATAACTGACTTGTACTCCCTGTAAGAAAGTTCATCATAACCATAATGCCTGCTCTGGTGGGGGGGATCCCAGATGGACTTGCTGTGCTGCCACAGGTACAAGTTGGGTTGAGAGACAGGGTTCAGGGTAGCACTGCATTGCCCAACGTTTTGTGTTTGCATTTTATGAGTTAATAACGGGGACCTTTGTGCTCTTGGCAGCCATTTTTAAATTGTCTATTTTAGTCAGAATGTAAATCTCTTTTAATGATGCGAGAATAAAGCTATTTTTCGCAAAAGTACGTGCTTGCTTCTTTTATAACTTGCCTGATGGCAGCTGACATTCCTGATCGTGATGTTGCATTGGGCATGGGGAAGTCGCCAGGCTCTAGGCTCTGCATCAGCAAGCATGCAGGGGAAGACTCATGAGAAAGGAGTTGGAGTCTGCTCCGTCCACTCTCGTTAGGTTAGGAGTGAGCTACTGTGCTTCATCCAATGCATCAACAACTGCTTCCATGTATTCACCAAGGCCCACATTCTGAGCCTCTTACTTTGGTTTAGGCTTTGCTCTACAAGTGGTTCCAGCAACTCCGATGGAATGTGTATGGAGTAAGATGCTACCAACACAGGCAAAGATATCAGCCTAGTTCTAGGTGTACAACTGAAGGACAGTCCAAGGTCCTGGAGAGTGGAGTGGAGTTTAAGCAGAATCTTACCTCCAGGCCTTGCTTTTCTTTGTAGTCAATGGCAAAATCCACACCCATCTTCGGGGGCCAGGGGTGGGAGCTAATACACTGTGTTCCTTTGAATGAATATTACTGATCAGGATTCAGCACTTGTGGGAGAAGATCCTGTTTCCTGTGTCTTGTTGCTTTCTCTTCCTCTTCAGTGTTTGAGCGCTGTAGAAACTGAATTCTTGTTTCCCTGCTCATTTGAATCATATCTGCACAGTGGTTTGCTTCCCTTTGACCTCAGCTGCCAAAGCCATCTGCCTTCCCTTGACCTTAGTGCACCATCCTCATTGATGATGCTAGAAAGACTTGGCACTGCTCAGGCAATTGTTTGAGAGTGAAGAGGGGAGACTGACCACTCAACTAATGTCGCTACAGTATTATTGCTGGGACCCCTTTAAACAAACATGGCATTGGTTATCTTTTAAATGCAATGTCCGCCCTCCCTAATGGGATCTGTCACCTGGAGAGATCTACTAAAGGGTTATCTGGATGATCTGAGGATGGATTTCACCTGATCCTGGTGGGAACCCAGTCAGTGGGACGGGCAGGGGCTCAGGATCAGGCCCTGAATTTCTTGTGGCTGTGGCGTCATGCTATGGGAATTCCACTGTATTCTCGCATGGTTTCAGGCCCACTGACTGTCAAGTGAAATGATCTGAGTGGACTGATGTGACACTTCACTGATAGAGCCTCTCTACTGGGATTGCCCTTGTACTTTTATGTAACTTTGAGGCTGCTGTTCCTTTTGCTGCACTGAGCTAAAATAACTGAATTGTTCTGGGCCACATTGTCTGCTGGTGCCAAATCTATACAGTGGAACTGTGCTGATTTACATCCAGTCAAGATGGGCACCTTTCTACTTCTCTTTCACCTACCTATCAAAGAAAAGGGGGTGGCTTAAGTTCCCCACAAAAGATGGGATTGCAGCTGGCCCTTGAGGTAAGGATGTTTGAGACCAAAGTGGAATTATAACACAGCAGTCAGGAGAAAAGCTCCATCCCTACCTGGATCTCACCAGGATATAGTGAGAATGTGACTGAGTTTAACAAAGAATTCACTCTGTGATTTCTCTTCAGCCCCTCTCCCGTCTTCCTCACCCATCATGTTTCAGCAAGGGTTT